CAGAAATTTCACTGTAATGATCCATAATGTGACATTTTTAAGTTTTAATTAGTCACTATGAAATATTGAGGTCAACTAATTTATTACTGACTGTCAGCTGAACAATATTGAGCTTTTGTATGACTACAATGCATTCATATATTTCAAGTAGTAGTAAGCTGGCATTTAGTGTCAAGTTTTGTGTTTCTTTCAGACATAAAAGCACATCATGCAACAAGTCATGTTAGACAGTAGGCTAAGAAACAGGCAAACAATTAGCCCAAACTCCAAAAACTACAGACAATAAGAAGAACAAACCAGCTCAAGGGATATTGAAAGACGCCCTGACAGAGGAGAGAGCGGAGCATATAGAGACTATACACACTGAAGGAGGCAGTGATATGTGTACTCAGGCATGACACTTTAGAAGAGGTGCAGACAAAGACAGACACACACAAGGAAAGAAGCTACAAAGAAATAATAATGAACTCAAAGTGCAAACAAACATGAATCCCCAAAAAATACAAAAACAAAGTACAAATATGAGAAGATTACAAGATCGAATCAAATATCAAAACTTCAACAATTGGAAAATGATTTCAAATCAAAAGCCCACAACAGAAAAAGTCTGCAACAGAAAAACAAAAAACAAAACCTGTTGAAAATAATCTGAAAAAAGTCAAAAAGTTCTAAAAAGTCTCATGAGTGTAGTTGAGTAACTCCAAAACTGAACACGCACCCACCTTATAAAACTTAGTTACATCATCAGAGTATGTCAGATTTAAAAGAAACTGTAACTGTGGAACACATTTGATTTGTCTCACTCAAAGTCACACATCTCATATTAACTTTAAAATAAAGCATGAAATACATTTTCACATGGTGTGAAGACTGTGACTTTGGTTTTCCGTCCTTTTAAGCATGTTAGGGAAAAAAATTAATTTCCAGTAAACAAACACAGTTTCCTGCACATCTCAGATTCATCTTAATTTGTCACTTCCGCATGTTACAGCATACATGGGAGGGAAAGGACATACCTCACAGGTCAGGGAGCAGGTCACATTCAAAAATAACACAAGACACATTGAAAACATAAAAATAGAGCTTAAAACTTAGCAGACATCTGACTATATAGTTGAATCTTATATATAGTTGAATCTAATCTAATATATAGCTTTTAGACTTGAAGAATGATGAACGTATCTTCTAATCATAAAACAGGCCTCTTAAGCTGCAGGAAATGCCAAAATGCTGTTGTTTCTTAGAATCTTGAATACTTTGCTCCTTTATTATAGGGGTTATGATTTATTTGCCAAATGGTGTTCAGTTTGAATTGCATGAGAGAGAGAGCTATACTGTGGTTCACCAGACGATGGCAGCATATCAGCAGGAAACGTCTCCTCTCATAATAATGACTCAAACACTATAAATGACTAATGATGTTGATTTTTGAATAAACAATAGACATGAATCATGGGCGATTCTACAAAAATTAAAAAAAATCAATTGGATTAATCACAAAATAAATAGAGAGAGGGAGCAAAGTGTGTTTCAGGAGAACATGATTAAGAATAACACTTTTTGTTTTTGAATTAAAACGATTTAGGCTCTACCTTTATTTAGTTTAGTGAAGCTCACCACTGAATTCTGAAATGCATTTAAATGGTCAGAATCTGTGGCATAATAACTTTTCTCTTTAGACTCTTAATTCAGCCTCTTTTTGTTTGTTCAGTGAAATTGTTATTCTGATAAAATAATGCTGCAGAGATCTGTGAGTGAGCACTCGAGCTGCACAACTTAATCTTGGAATAATGCGTTTGGAAACTCTCGGCCTGCCTCTGTAGTTAAAGACAATAGGCTGCAGGAAAAGAGAATGAGGTCAAAGATTACAGGCTGCGGTCGGCTCCATAAATTAAACATGCGCATCCTGAATTATGAATTGTCTTTGCGGCTGCAGGAGCCGGAGCTGCTGTATCTTTAATATTGAGGAGGGAGAGAGAGAGTGAGATGGGTGAGGCTGCGCGTTCCCGGCTGCTTTTCTGCGCTCCGTGGCTGCGTGGACGCGCAGTGGAGAACACACTCGCTGGAGAGGGGAGGGGGAAAAAAGCGCACGACGGACTGCAAGCAGCGACTCACCGGGAAAAATGTGCCCTCCACCGCCCTTCACCAGCGCTGCCCAGGTCCACAGGAGTCATGTGAAGGGATCCACCACATAGGAGGACGAGGACTTTCTCTTTTTTCCATCATTAAACTTATTTCAGAGGAGCGTCAAAACTCAGAGGGTTGATTATAAGACGCGTGGATTGAAGTTAACATAAGAGAAGGTAAGAGGATTCAGCGCGTAATGAGGCGGTTACTCCTTAGAATAAAAAATAAAAACACCGACCAGAAGCTGTAGCTGGATCTAAGCTGTGGGACAATTGTAATTATGATGAATTGCATCTTGGCATCTGAGCATAAAGTGTTGATATTGAACTCTTGTTTGGAATAAAGTGTTTAAATCCAAGGCTTGGGCAGCACACACACGCAGCGTCAGTGTGTCTGTACTCAGAGCAGGAGAGACCGCATGCTGCAAATGTGATACTCACCATATGTGCATGCTTTGTAAAGTCCACAGCTACAACTGTCCATGTTCTGTGAAGTGATTTGGAAAAATGGAAAGTTTGCATGTGATGCTTTCAGCAGCACGGGATGTGTTCATTTTGTGTTGTTGTTTTCAGCTTCTGTGATTTTATTAGTTTGTAATATAATTATCTGCTGTGTTGTTGCCTCTTAACCCACTATCACTAAAACACATTTGAGTTGATACGAGATAAAAGCTTCCACATCACATTTCCGCTGCTGCAGCCCACAATGGTCATAATGGACATTCATAGGGATATTTTTTTTTTGTTTGGCTAATGTCTGGTAATTGATGCTTGCAGGTGCAGAAATGGCGAGAAGGCTCCTGCAGCTCGTCGCCTTGTTGACTGTTATGATTGGCGTTGTGCAGTGCTGTCCAGAGCTCTGCAGCTGCCAAGACAAATTCGCCCACCAGTTTGCTGATTGTGCTTACAAGGACCTGCTGGTGGTACCTCTGGGTCTCCCCTCCAACGTGACCACTGTGAGCCTTTCCGCGAACAAGATCAAGCTACTGAAAAGCAAAAGCTTCGTAAACATCACCCAGGTCTCCTCCCTCTGGCTGGCCCACAATGAGATCGTTACCATAGAGATGGACACCTTGGCCCCCCTCATCCAGCTCCGCAACCTGGACATCAGTTACAACAAAATTGTGAACTTTCCATGGGAGGATCTGAAGAACCTCACCGCCCTGCAGCTCCTGAA